CCCCAAAACCCCAAAACCCCAAAACCCCAAAACCCCAAAACCCCAAAACCCCTTGGGTGAAGAATATAATTGAATTAAATATTTTATTGATATGGGTGTTCTGTGCTTTCATTAATATCTAGTTGATAGTTATAAAATAGAATTGCTGAATAGTGTCTTCTTCTTCATCAAGACTAACTTCTTCTAGGAAGTATGAATCAATAATCTCTTCTGAGAGTTTGTAAAGTTTATTATCTTCGTGAGTATAAAAGCTCTCAATCGTATCTAGGCCTCCACAATTCTCCACAATTAAAGCGAATTGATCATCTTCTCCTTCATTGATGAGGTTCAGCTGACCAGCATCAAGGCAATTTCTGATCCCTTCCAGAAGAATTCATTTTGATCAGATGTCAATCTTACTTTTTAATAAATAGCACAAAGCTTCGATTCCTTTACTCTTCACAATTTCTGAAACAATGTCGGGATCTCTCAAAGCAGTGGCATTAGAAATGGCCCAGCCAGCTTCTCTCTGAATATTCTGGTCATCATCGTCGGCAAGATCAATCATCTTGTCAATGACTCCTAGTTCTATCAATTCTGAAACCTGACTAATAGTCCCAGCACAAATGTTAGATATTGTCCAACAAACCACCTTTACAATTACTTTATTTGGATGGGATAGTAAAGCATGGAGACGAGGCAGCATTCCAGCATTAATGACAGTCTGAATCTTTTCATCACCTCCTGTCATGAAATTTCCAAGTGCACTCACTAATGGAAGAATTATTTTAGCATTAGAAGAATTAAGGTGAAGATTAAGTGTGTTCATAATTCCCAACTCGAAAAACTTATTAATTGTCTGCTCTCCGGCATTTGAGATATAGGAAATAGCCCCTGCACAATCAATAATTATCTCATCTTTGTCGTTACTTTTCAAACACTCATTGAGAATCGGAATGATATATAAAAGCTCCTCAATTGATGGAAAAGGCCTATTTCTCAACAAGTGCTTGATGCACCACATGCAATTCCTAGTCATCATTGAGTTTGGTTCTGCATTTTTGAGAATATTAGCCAGTAACTTTAAAGCTTTTTCGTCAAGAATCATAGCTCTATAGCGAGAATTTTCACTAGAAATATTTCCTAAAGCCCATGTACTATTTTCAACAATATTCATCGGGTGAGGACAGTGGAATATCTCTTGTCCTAATTCATTCTTCTGAATGGTTCCAAGAAAGCTTGTAAAGATAGGGATAATGCCTTTATCAACGAGAGCTTGCATATGCTCAGTTTTGCCACTCGCAATATTTGTAAGACACCACAAAGCTTCAAATTGAATGTTGGGAATATCATTCCTACCAACCAAAGTAATTAGCTGAGACAACACGTCCGTGTCTATTACATTCTGGATCGGAGGATTGTCAGCAAGTGTTATCAATTTCCCCAGTCCAACTACTGCTAATAAAATGTTGCGATCTTTGTCAGAATTTATAAGTTCTTGAAGAAGTGGAAAATCAGAGAGCTCAAACTTGGTATTCTTTAAAATTTCATAGTAGTCCATAATGGTCATTTCTTCTTCCCACAATGATTGTGCTTGACTAATAGTGTGTTCAGTATTTTCAGTCGAAGCTATTTTTATTTTACCAGTTTCAGATTGGTCATTGCCCTCGTAATTTCTATTCTTTGCAAACTTGTTGTTCTTGATCTCTTTCCTACTCGCTTCATTGAGATCGCTTCTGTTATTTTTAAGACCATCAGCATCTTGATTGTTTAGAAACTGATTTGTTCTGTTCTGAATCCTATCTTCTACTTTTAGAGATTTCTTGTTCAAGGTTTTATCAATGTGGAATAGCTTGTCTTCCTCATTTGCTTTATTTTTTTCCATTTCTGATAAATTATTCCAAAATATTTTTATAGGGGTTTTGGGGTTTTGGGGTTTTGGGGTTTTGGGG